TAGCTATTTTGGAATCTCGCGTTTCAGCTGGCAAAGATTGTCAACTTCTTTTTAATAACAAAATAATCTATCTTAGGTTGATAAAACTATGTGTTTCTTTAATAAATAAGTTAAATTATATATTTTAATAGTGTTTAAAAAGTGAGAACAGGTGATTTAGTGAATCTTTGTCGGTGTAATTGCCCATAGAAAATAACGAAATTTAACAAAATTTGTTTGTTCATAACTTTTAAATGGTTAATAATATTAGCTCCCCCCCTGCGGATTGTTATTAGGGGGGCCGAAACGCGTCATTTGGTACCCCTCCCGACCTTTCCGCACCTTTTTTAGGNGGGAAATGCTTTATGTACTGGCCGGGGGCGCTAGTCTCAATACTACCTTCCCCGAGTGTGGGACTCCCACCGAAGCGTGTTAGGCTACCCACTAAAACCCAAACACCCACCGCCCGCGCAAGAATCCCGCATTATTATTATTACAAACCGTTTTTTGCATTTCAACACCATTTTTGTATTGGCAACGCTATTAAAATAATAAAACTAACTTTTCCGAAATTCCGTTAATTTAGGGTATTGCGTACTGTTTAACAAGCCGTAAATATTTAGCAATTAACTTTATGATTACACTCACTTACCATGTACAAAGAATATACATATATGTACATATATACTAACCAGAACTTTTCTTTAAGGTAATTAATTTAAATAGAATTAATGCAAATCAATTTTCTTTTAGGGAGGAATGTACATATTTCAAATATTGGACTCGTATGCGGTGAGTGGATTTTGCTTGCTGTGGTTGATATTTTTTGAATGTATATCCATATCATGGTGTTATGGAGTCGATCGTTTTTACGATGGTATTAAAGATATGATCGGGTATTATCCCATGGTTTGGTGGAAGTTTTGTTGGTGTATTACAACTCCGCTTATTTGCATGGTAATTTAATATTTTTCTTTAAATTACCCATATGCACATTTATTTTTAATTCAAAATTATTTTTTAAGGGCGTATTTTTCTTTAATATTGTGCAATGGAAACCAATTAAATATCTGGATTACAATTATCCTTGGTGGGCACATGCGTTCGGCTGGTTTACGGCGCTGTCGTCGATGCTTTACATTCCTGCGTACATGTTTTGGTTGTGGAAGCGAACACCTGGCGGTGCGGGAGAGGTAAGTGCAGAGAAAGAAACTTGTTCGTATATTGGAAGATTATTCATTCCTGCTAAATATAAAGTACAAATACTGGCGAAGTCAAAAATAAATACTGTATAAATCTTAAGGCCGGTTGTTCAATGTCTGATTAGCTCTATTCGGAGGTAGGAGCTCTGGTTAAATACACCGACTGCTTTATCGATCACATGTTATATGCATGATGTCGAAAACGTCGATAATGATGTTTAACCTGCAAGTAGTGATAACCACATATTGAAAAACCGGCCTTTAATCCTTTAGAAATTAGTACAAAAAAAAGTAATCGGGGGATTGGAGAGCATACAGCACATGATTGTGAGGTCAATAAAGTAAATGAATTATTAAAATATCGGTATCAATCGAACGGGGGTTGAAAAATCTTAATTTCTGAACTATATTTAGCGGAGTTGCCACATGATTAATAAATATAATTCAACCTAATTCATCAGTTGATTAAAATATGTATCGCAATGTTAGACGAAGAATATTTAAGAATATCTTAGCGCGAAACTACTCAAAAGGGCTGCCACCTGTTTAAAAAGTCGAACTTAACTATATCTATATACATATATAATACGCGAAAGGACTTTTTGTCCCGGTCATCAGATCTGAACCATTCGTTTGATTTTCAAAAATGAGATATCAAATTAAAGGGCTTGATATGTAGATGTGCAGTAGGCTTTTACTTTTCCGGAAAGAATGGCCACCTTTGAAAAAGTCATGTTGAGCTTATTTTATAAATCAATACCATCATATCCCCATCCTTTGCTCGATTTCCAAAAGTGAGGTGTCAAATTAAAAGGCTTGGTTGCAGATGTGCAATGGGGACTTACATTTTGAAAAGAGTTGCCTCTGTTTAAAAAATCAAATTAAATTTTAAACAGGGAAATTACATAGGTAATTTACAAAATGTTACCCCACAGGGGTCCAGACTAAAGGAGTTTAAAAAGGTAGTAATTTTAAAATGTTTTGAAAAGGGTTTGCCACCTGCTTTAAAAGCCGAATTTAGTTATATGCAGTATTAAAATATGGGTGTTAAACGAAAGAGCGCTAAGAAATCTTCAGTTTAAACATCAAAATCTTGTTTGATGGTTTGAACAGAGTTGCCAGCTGTTGAAAATTTTAAATTTAAATGAATTGTGAAGTTTAGTAAATCAAATTAATAAATAAGTTAAGTTAAATAAATTACTAAAAGAGGTGATTTAATCCTTCATAGGTTTGAGAAGGATTTATATCTGAACTGTTTAGGAGAAGTATCAAACGAAAGAGCTTTAAAAGATTTCAGTTTGAAAATGCTTCGCAGAAGGTTACCACCTGTTTGAAAAGCCTAATTTATTTACCTTTTAAACAATTTTAATGAAATATTAAAATATGAGTGGCAAAAGAAAGAGTTTTAATAAAACTTTAGTTTGAAAATGTTTTTTGTTAGGGTTGCCATCTATTCGATTTTTATTTTGAGCGATAAAATTCGGTAATTGTGTTATCAGCTGTCTCGATGAAGTCAATTTGTCCCCAAGGAGCCGCGATTTGACGCCCTTAGACTTTTTTGTGCCATGCCGTGAAGGACCGATATAATGCGAACAATCTATTAACGATTCAGGCCTTTAAGGCGTATGTCTGGCATTTCTTACGATAGAGCCAGAAACCATCAACAAAGTCTTGGAGAACACACAGTCACATGATGAAATCGGGTTCCATAACTAATGGGAATATATGTTCTTTCGAATAAACCCATAATATACCGAAAAAATTAGGTTGAGTTAATATTTATAAATAAATAATTTTTTTGTTATGGTCATCAGATCTTTAATGTGAAGGTCATCAGATCAGCACCGTCACTCTAAATGTGCATTAAGGTTTTATTTTTTCAAGTTACGACCTTTTTTAGCGGTGCACGGTGGTTTGAATTTTGAGGAAATGAAAAACCGACACCATTTGAGACCTCTATTCGTTCAAAAAGGGATGGACGAATTTATTTGAAACATTTGCAATATTTATTAAGGTCTGTGAATAGTGTTGCTATCTATTTAAAATATTAAACTCAATTTTGGCGTCACAACGCTGTGCGGGTTCACTAGTATTTTATTAATATTATTCTATAACTAGAAAAAGTGTCAGCAAATGGGATTAGGCCGGTGAAAACTTTGATGTATTTCCGGTAAATATTAGAGAAGCCACCAATTCGTTCATCATTCGCATGATAATTCGATCAGAATTACCTACAAATGAGGTAATTCGCTCTCAAAATTACGTATGGCAAATTACGTAATTCGGAAGGGAATTGGCAAGGCGAATGACGAATGGGAGAGCGAATTACGAATGACAGAGCGAATTACGAATCGTGAAAACGCCGTATTAGTTGTATGGAGAAAATTTTGTGTTAAGCTACAAAGCAAGACTCCCCCTAGAAATGTTCCTTTGGCCATAAAAACGTGCCCAGCGAACATTTTTTAAAATCGGACAACGGAAAGACGTGCCTCGAAAGGCCCTAAAGTTCAGCGTTTTCAAGCAATTTTTCACAAAGTGGTCAACATTTCCTTTAAGTCATAGGGAAATTTAATATATTTTAATGGCACGTAATGTAGTTTTGACCCCCGATGTCAAATATGGCTAACCTATTTTTAAACCTCCACAACTTTTAAAGTTATTGAGGCTTTTTCCACGTAAAATTAAAATTTTCTAGGAATCCAGAAGTTAAATTTTAGATAATTAAATTTAGATCAAATTGGTACGAAGAAAAAAAATTTTTAGTAGCGAACTTTTGATGCAGTTTACTCAACATTCCGCTATCTTGAATTTTGGTTTTTGCGATTCGCAAGCTTATTTTGCATCTTTCTTAAAAAACGGTTGTATTCAAATTTGTAGAGAATTTAATTTCCCACATTTTTTATATACAAACTTTTTAAAAAATTCATTTTTTAATGTTAATAAGTAGCAAAAAGTGCGAAAAATTTTTGCACGGTCACGGTTTTCGCAATTTTTCAACAATTTCTGATAAAAATGCGTAGCATATTAAAATGCCAAAGTTGTAGGGAACTTTTCTCTTTTAGTGTAGTTTAGATGCCATATTTCGGACGCCATGTTGAATTTTTCTAAAGGCCTCATGGCTTTTTACCAAAAAAATCGCAATAGCATTAAAAGATGGGGAGGTTTGAAATTACTGCAGCTATTTTTGATTCGGGGGACAAAACTGCATCAAGTTCCATTAAAATATATTAAATTTCCCACTGACTTATAGGCAAAATATTGACCGCTTTGTTAAAATTCCATGAATTTTCCGAAATTTAGGGTCTTTGACCCACGTCTTTCCGTTATCCGATTTTAAAAATTTTTCGGAGGTCACGTTTTTATGACCAAATGAACCTTTCTGGGGGGAGTCTCGCTTCGTAGGACAAAGTTGCAAAATAAGGCGCTACTGCACATTCATGATGATATTCCTTGAATTAGTTTGCAATACTATAAATAGCTAGGGGAGAGAAGAGTGCTATACACCACATAAGGAAAGATTTCTGTAGAAAAAACGGAAATCTGAATTTTTGCGCATTCTCTAATGGATAACACAGCCCAACAAAAATATGGAAAATATTTGGCACGGCAAATGTTAAAGTTGTTTTTGATAGATTTTTTTTTGTGCTGATTACGAATCCGTAAGCATAAAGTTTCCATCAGCTTCAGATTTTGAAAGAAACGAGGTCAAAGTGTCAAAAAATCGCGGTTTTTGCAATATTTTAGAAGCGCTAGCAAATAAAAAAAAGGTAATCGAACTTTCCTGGCTTAAATTAAGCCTAGATCTCTCGACTACTATCTCTGAAAATAGATCTTAAATATTTGAGATCTTAAAATATTTTTTACCATTATTATCTTAAAGTAAATGATGGCAAATTTTTGTGCATATTTTCCTCCACAGGGTGGTTTAAACCCCCAAAACCCTCTCCTTTCGGACGGAACTTATGTATACATATTTAGCATTAAATATGGCATAAGAATATTTTCAAATAAAAATTATACTTTTCGTTCCATTTTGATTCAACTAATCGCCTGTGAAAGTTTAACAATACAAACACGCTTTAAGCAAAAAATAAACGATTTCGGGCATAAATGGGGGACCTACGCAACCTTTGTATTATTGGTGATTTTAACCTGCCTGATATTATCTGGATAGATTTACAGAATAATGGTATTTAGACACCTACTAACGTCATGCGATCTCACGAAATTTTATTTAGTCTCTTATGTTGTAACCTTATTCAAATTAATTGTGTATTTAATGCGCTATCTAAGATGCTCGATCTAGTATTTGTAGACGAAAATTCAATATTTAACCTTTCGGAGAGTAATCTACCTTTGACAGACAAACATCACGTTCCGCTTGTTATTTCTTTAAAAGGTTTTTGCTGTAATCTCTATTCCGAGCTACTTGTGCACTTCCGCTTTTAATTTTCGGATTACCACTTAGCGATATTAACTGGGCTAATATTCTTTCATCAAATGATGTGAGCTTATGTTTTGACACTTTCTTGTCTAAGTTAACAGAGGTATTTTCCATTAAAGTGCATCCTCTTCATCCTAAACTTCATAAATTAGCATGGTATAACCCTACTCTAAAAAATTTGAAGAATAAACGTAATAAATATCATAAACTGTATAAAACCAAGACTCCGAATGCTGTTCTCATGGATCAATATACGAATTATGTAAATCGATTTAATGTGCTCAATAAGTTTCTTTATAATCGTTATATTGGTAAACTGGAAGCTGAGCTAAAAGTAAATCCTAAGGCTTTTTGGAATTATATTCGCTCTAAGCGTGGGTCTTCCAACATAACGATTTGTATGTGCTTTAATGGTAAATGCTCTCAGTCTTTGCCTGACACTGATTAATTCTTTGCTGAGTTCTTCAAATCAAACTTTGATAGTGAGGCTGATAACCCGATTAACTCTCACGCTCACTCGAATTGGAATGTTACCATTTCTATGTCC